ATATTGTTCTCTTGCTGAAGTTTCTATGGAAAGAGGTAGTTTCAGACTTCCATTTATCTTAGTTACTCATGCATTTTAATACTAAATGATCTTGATATTCACGGCCCATACTTTAATTGCAGAAGACATACACTACTCACTCAATGCTTGGTTCAAAGCTTTAGCCATCTTGGAGCATTTGGTTGAGCCTGACCATTGTCGGATTATCTTAATGTATCCTACTTGTGGTAATAACGGTATAAATTGTGTGCTATATAATAGTTTGAAGCATCTTATTTCCAACCCAAGTGCTAAAGTTGCTGCACTTTGTAGGCGTGTATTCAGGTTTCAGGGGTACACTTTAGTCAGTTGCTTTCAATAAGTTTTGGATTACAGAAATTTTGCATGGGTTTCTCCATTTGTATAAATGCACACACTAGTGTATTTGTGCGGATGAACTTTTCTCGCTGAAGAAGAATTCAGTTAGAAAATGTGGTGTATTGTAGATTTTGGTTGTTCTTTGTTAATTTCCTTAGTTTGGTCCTAGAAACTTCCACATATTTCTGGCTTTCAAGTCTGCATCCAAGATTGGAGATGCGATTCCATATGCTGCAAAGGTTATTTCATTCATCAAGTCACGTATGCAGAAGCCGAATAAGGCCTATGATGCTTTCTTGGCTATTGAAGGTGATAATACATCTGGTGCTGAAGTTGGCTCAGAAAAATCCTCGCTGGACAATGACAAAGAATTCCTTGCTACCTTGCTCAATGAAGTAGACGAGCAGGTAAATAAGTCAGTTCCTTCATGTAACCTTGATGGTTTACCTCATGAACCTAATAATACAGTAGTACTATATGAAGAACTAAAACATGTTTGAATTTCTTGGATTCAGTTTGAAGACCTAGCACAAGCATTAATCCCAATCTCAAAGACAAGTGGTGCGCGTAACGTTGTCTATGCTACACCAAGAGCTGGAGCAAGTAATTCTATGTCTACAGTAGCAACAATCGAGACTTCGAGTAGTACTGAAATTGACCTCGAGACTGCAAGCCAAGGCATCAAACAAGCTAATGCCAAGCTGATCTCTGCTGTACCTTGTCCCATGAAACTTGCAGAGGATTCTTCGCCTGTAAAAGGTGATAGCAGCAACAAATCAGATGTTCATCCTGCAGCACTGGAGGACGATACCTCTGTATAAGAGTAGATACAACTTCGTTAGCTTTACTACTTGTTAGTAACTTGTGACTGTAAACTTTTAGCTGATTATATGGTCCCATTTTTTCAGGGTCTACATGGTCCCATTTAGTTGATGTATACTGCCATGTGACCTTTTTGTCGGAGCTGTTCTGCCTAATGCAGAAGAATCTCTTCATTATGAACTGGTTTCGGCTTTTGTTTAACCAAGTCAAATGCAATTTAGGTGTGAAGATGCATTGAATCCAAGTGAACTGTGCTCGGTTCCAGTTTGGCGTAATCCTCTGCATTATGCATCGTGCATGATATGACTGGAGGTCCATTGCGAATTTGATTGGAATTTCATCATCCTATAGTTAAACTGACCGGAGGCAATAGAAGTGGCATTCTCCTGCTCTTGTAGCATCTTTCATTTATACTGCTGTGCATCTGTTGTCTTACTATGATACATAACTTTTTACCTCTGTTCAAAAATTGAAGTTCAAGTTTGTTTGGAAAATTGTAGTCCTTTCTTTTGGTGACAAAAGGCTTTTGTATACATTGGCGGGAAGTTTGTGATAAGTACACAAGGTTCTGGAGTAGTAGGTAATAGGAGAACCTTGTACACAGTTATCAGTTGACATAAGAACCATATAGTACCAGCTAATGCTGGTTTCATAAGCAGCATAATTTGTTCAGTACTTTTGTTATGTTTTTTCTTCTTCTACAAATGACCAAACTTGTGAGCTCTAATCTTTAGCCAGGTACTTTGGGCAGGGGAGTACTCTGCCTTCTAGATGAGGTCTGGGGCATTAGGAAGAAGAACAATTTCGTCTTGAAATAGAACACTAGGATATGTGACATGGAAAATGTCTAATAGTTGGCACTCTTAGCAGTAACTGTTTGGTCTTGAAATTTTAGTTCCCAATGTCAATGGGATTTGAGTTCTTGTTTTCCTACACTGCAAGGTACGCTACATTTCTGTATTTATTCTACACTATCTATTTATTCTACACTATCTATTTATCTACACTTCTGTTCCATTTGAATTCACACTGCCTTCTAGCTATCATTTCTGTTTGATTGCAAGAACTGGAAAGATAATAATGTGTTTGCTAACATTCGGTGCTAGATCTGGCGATTATCATACTTATTACAGGGTATGCTTATTGCTTAATACAGGGTGTGATAGTTGTACGTACGTTGCACACCCTCACTCTAATCAACCTTGCCTCTGTTGACTTGTATTGGTGACCCCGAGCTGTACTGTGAGCCTTTAGCAAATTAGTCAATAGATCTTCGATTTTGATTAGCTTTTGTGTGTAGGGTTTGGTAAAGCAATAGGCTATGAAGCTCACCTTTCGCATGTGGGACCATATGATGGTAGGCTGCAGCCGTTTGGAGGATGTTTGCTAGAGCCTTTTTGTCTCAATATGCTACTCCCTCCGATCCAAATTCATTGACGTAGCTGCGTCAGTAGAGTTGTACTAAAGCTGCGTCGGTAGAGTTGTACTAAAGCTGCATCAATTAATTTAGATCGTAGGGAGTATGTTATATACTTGTTTTGTCAGTATTGCTTTTGTTTTGCTTTAAACTTCCATGATGTTGTAATTATTAGTCCTTGATCGTGGAAGTTTCATTACTGTGTATCATGAACAGAATAGCAGATATAGAGGCCAGGGGAGGTTTTCTCTGTTCCATTATTAGTTTTGTTGACTCACGTTTAGCGTGAAAGTCATGTTCTGCTTGCAAGCTCATTCGAGCTCGCGGTGAACAGTAAAATCATAAAAAAAAATCCAATTTTTTAATGATGAACTTTGTCAAATGTTTTAAGTGCTTGCAAAATTTTAGCATGAAATCACATTAGTGGAAGTCATGGTAAAAAAACAAATCAGGACTTCAAAATGCTTTCGAAAATAACACTTTTGGAGCATCGATTTTTTTTGCCACGACTTCTACCAATGTGATTCTTTGATGAATTTTTGTAATCACTGAAAACTTTTTGTCAATGTTTACCCCAGAAAAAAAATTCAGATTTTTGAAATTCTTTTACATTTTTTTAGAATTTACTGTTCACCGAGCTCCTTTGAGCTCGAGCTCAAAAACTCTGCGTCCCGTTGAGTGCTCCTTCTTGCCCATGGAAATACTATTTGGCTAGGCTCATGGATGGGTACCCTTTAGGGGCCTCCTCACTTGCGGTTGAAAGGAAAAATGCAGGTGTGGAATTTTTTCCTACAGTTACACTATTCATGCATTTGACTCAAAGCAATGGAGCAAGGAAAAAATGGAGGAAATTTCTTTGATACCTGTTTAAAAGGAATTTCATAATCTGCTTGGACCTCCTTTTCATATTCCTACGCATGAAGAATGAAACTAGAATTCTTAGTGGCATAATATTGTTAATTACACTTTACTACGTGGTTTGATTTTGATTTGATCATGTTTATTAGGATTCATGTGTTTTTCTATTCATGTGAACCAAACGTCCAAACTTACAAAATTGCCGTGATTTCCATTCCTCTATTTTACGCATGCATTCCTATTATATTCCTACATTTTCCTAGATTTCTACTGTTTTAGAATTCTACAAACCAAAGAGCTCCTAGACTAGCTATCCATTCTTCTCGGGATCCATAAGGTTCACACATGGTCAACTTCTATGTACATAGACTCAATTATTTGATTTATATTTCCGATGTTCTCTCTTATTAGCAGCATCCATTTGAAAATCTTGACTTTGAAGCTTAGCCTGCACGATTGTTGGTTTGGAACCACACAAATGAATAACCAAGGCTGAATACATACTAGTACATATAGATTGAACTGAAATAGTAGTGGCGCCACTTGAGAAATACTCAATGAGTGAGCTCCAGGCGCTCCCTTCAATTACTATACTTCATTTTTAATACATGCATGCCCTCTGTTTATGGGAAATCCTTCATTTGCAAAGCTCTTGTTGAAGAAAGTACGAACAAAGTTTTGACCAAACCCTAGTTTGATGCCACCCATGCATGCATGTCTCTTTAAAGCGAATTATCCTTTCAGTGGGATTGAACATGTTCCCTGTATTTTGTTTGTGTTCCATTCTTTCCAAGAGGACCTTAGCTAGAGCAGGAAAAGCACTAGCTACCTCAAGCAGTCAAAGCCCGGTCATCCATAACCGCATGCATGTGCCTCTGCGTTCTCCAAGTCGATCGAGCGGAGTAGTTAATTCAATGCTTTTTAATCTTTGAGATGCACTGCTCATTTGGCCGTGAAATGCATGGAAGCATGCACGACTGCACGAGACGATAGTTGCAAGCTTACTACTCCCTCCGTCCGGGTGTATAAGTCATTCGCGTAGTTCTAGGTCATCGATTTGAGGAATTAAATATGTGTTATATGTCATGAAAAGTATATCACTAGATGTCCACGCAGATGTAGTTTCTAAATATATATTTTTTGTCACATATAATACATATTTAGATATTTAAATTATCGACCTAGAACTACGCGAATGACTTATACACCGGGACGGAGGTAGTATATGTATACTCCTGCATGTGTTCAAACTGACGACGATCCACCAATTGAATGAAGTAGCCATGGAAGTTTGTTTGATAGATTAGCTTGATTTTTCCCTTCTGAAATCCCCAAAACTAACGGCACAGCGATGGTGATTTACAAAGTCCTCCTACTTCACCGATCGCTGGCCATTACTACCTTTCAGAAGGCACCGCTCGTGCTCATGCACTGCTCTAGACTATCCTAAAATTACAGAACTTAATTGGTCTCCGGTTACTCGTGCGCGCAACGTACGTTACAACAAGCGTGGCAGTTGATTAGTAACACGAACGTAGGGGGCCGATCACCCCATGCCATTGAACGGCGAGCTCCAATTGTTGGAGTAGCCGTCCGCCACCTTGGCGACGCTCACGGACGAGGAGCCCTGGGAGAGCTCGTAGGCGCGCCTCATGGCCGCGTACGGGTCGACGCCAGCCTCGGCGCCGTACCCCACGAGCCTCCCCTCCTCCGTAGTCGCCGTGCTGCCGCTGTGCCCCTGGTCGGCGTCCACCACCGTGCCCACCGGCATCATGTACGCGTTGCCTCCGAGGCCTTGGTACCAGGCGCCGCCACCGCCGTTGCCGTAAACTGCGGCCCTCGATGCCGGCTGGAAGAAGTTGTGGGTGCTGCCGCCGCTTCCCAGGTGGAGCTCCTGGATGTCCTGCCCGCCGTGCGCGGCCGCGATCACCGCGTCCTGCTCCGGCTTACACCACCCGCGGGCGTGCCCGCCAACGCCGTACGGGTAGTGCAGGGCGAGCTGCGCCGCGGACTGCTGCTGCTGGTGGCTGCCGAACGCGATGGACGTGGGCCAGCCGTGGTGGTACCCGGCCATGGCGTCGGCCTGCAGGTGCGAGACGATGCTGCCGTCCTCCGCCCGCCACACGCCGGCCTCGGCGAGCTCAGCCGCCTCCTTGAGGCGCCTGGCCGCGCCGCCCACCGGCAGCGTGCTGCCCTCCAGGATGCTCTTGACGTCGTAGCGGCTCATCTCGAAGTTGGTGACGGCGTTGAGCCCCCGGAACTTGATGGCGGCGATGTCGTACGCCTCCGCGGCCTCCTCCTCGGTCGCTGCACAGCACGCGCATGATTAGGGTTAGCTCACCAACGCGTGTGTCTACCCAACTGACCAGCCAGTGGAGCATATTGCGCGTTGCATGCATGCATGCACGCACGCACGCACGCACGGCGCGGTGGCGCATGCAACGCGAGCTGCATGCGACGGCGCGAAGCTCAAGCGAGGCGCTGGGGATATTCAAACCGGTGCTTGACCGCATGCCCCGGTTTCCTCAGACAGCTCCGAGACACAAGCTTGGAAAGGAACATTTCGGACATAGTTAATGGTGTACGTACTCCACTATCTTAAGCGCCATTTGAACGCATAAAAATATTGCAACGCTTGCGTCCTACGAGACTACTGAGATTTCGTGAGCTGGAGTAGTAAATAATTAGGGCTTCATGACTTGGTTCTCGGAAGCACAGCACAGCTACTGCTACTAGGACTACTCCAGTACAGTAATTAAACAAGTGGTTTAGCTAGCTGAGAAAGCAATTTCGCTTTGATGTGATAGTTTATGCGGCTTACTGAAGGTGCCGAGGTAGAGATCCTTGTTGCCCGCGACTCTCCCTATCCTTGCTTGCCATCTTCCTTGCTGATGATGCCTGTCAAACCATAAGATATATATTTAGTACCACTAGATTGGTAGGCTACCAGTTTTCACGCACTGTAAATAGTATAGTTACCTGGTTACACCGCGATATTTTGACGCGCCACGAGAAAAACCACTACTATTCCTACAGTTGAATGATCATATGCATCCATGTGATTGTTAGCCAACAGAGACGTGCTTAATTACGTACCGTGCAATCTTTCAACACATGTATACATGTGATGTTGTAAAACATTACTTGGGATGGGTCAAGCAATTGTTACCTCCTAAGATATGCAATGTACTCCTGCCTGGTCATATGTTTCATTTCCTCTATCTCCTTCTCATAAGTACTTATCTGCAGATTTTTTATAGGTGAAAGGAAAAAACAGGATCAGTAGCTGCCCATGCAGAAGGAAACAGAACAATCTATTATAGATTTTTTTTCTTACTGGGATATTTGTTGTTGTGGTTGTGCCCCAATATTTTAGAGCTGCCAAATCATAAGCCCTAGCTGCCTTGTCTTCTTTGTCATAACCGCCTACGCAAATGTTCACCCAGGAGAAATTAAAGTGCTATCGAGGACTTAGCTAGCATCAGAACACTTGCCCATACAAATATATGTAGTAATCGAATACTTGCACGAAAGATCAGTACAAATTCTTACCCAGATAAACTGCATTCCCATGATCAGTATTTCCAGTGTCATATTCCAGGGGAGGCCAGCATTGACACACCAGAAAGAAGAAAGCTTAATTATCACATGTTTAAGAACATCCCATAGAAGTTGCCAAAAGATTGAGATCTAGCTAATGATTGAACTATATATCCATGTATATACTACATGAACAGTCCCATTATACCTTGTTTCCCCTTGCGAGTCTGCCCCTCTCTCCTGCAACTATTGTCCCATAGATGCGCCTCATACCGCCCTGTCCATCTATGCCTGCAGGTCGAATTAACAACAAATAACGCGTAAAGTAAAATCAGCTTTGAAGCATCAAAGCGACACTTCTATTGGCCAAACAACCCTACGCAGATCATGGAAATTCGATGCATATGTGTCCCCCCTTTACCTAGTCAACTATAGTACCACTAGTGCATTTTGTGAGGATCACCTTATATTACAAGCATTGTGTTACCTAAAGGCTAAGTGAAGTGGAAAGTTGCATAGCACAAGTGAAGTACTAGCATATATACTGCTATCAGATTAGTTAGCTTTGATTGCATTATGTTGTTAGCAAAATACTAGAGCGATCATGATTTTGTTCCTAATTTTACAAATCTTATTAACAAGTTTTTGTGAAGTTCCTAGCTAATTGTAGTGTACACAGGATCCAAAAATCATCTTTTTTCCTTAGCTACTTCTAACCGTACGCATTCTAGGCAGATCGATCCCTCAAAAATGGCATCGAAAAGAAGAAAGATTAGTGTGCAATCGAGGGGGAGAAAGAAAGAAACTACTAGTGATCTAAACGATCTTATATTTCTTTACAGAGGGAGTAATGGGCAACGAAGATCAGGCATCAGGAGCCAAAGAAGCAAATTAAACACCTCTAGGTCACTAGCAGAAGCCAGGAAGATCCACGTTAGCTAACCTTGTTACACCTCGGTAGATCGAGGTCCTTTGCCCGAAGGTGTCGATGGATTTCCTCTGGACGGCGTCTGCCGTGCCGGCGCTCGGCGAATCCACCCGCTTGTTCTCCGACGACGTGCTCTCTGTCCCCACCGCCGCCGGGACCACCGGCATCTGCGGGTGCGAGTTCGACCCCATGCTCATCGAGAGCGCCAGGCCCTGCCCACGCGAGCTCGCGACGCCCACGCCGTTGCCGGTGCTCCCTGGCGCGCCGGAGCACGCATAGCTGGTCGCGCTCGCGTCGGCGCTCATCTCCTGGTCATGCTGCGCCTGGTTATTGTCGTTCCGGAGCCATGTCTTGATCATGGACAGCTCTATGGTGCTGCCGCCACGGCCGTCTACGCCGTGTGAACCAGCCGCCGCGCTGCTGCCCATCGCGCTTCCGGACGAGAACAGGTAGCCGCCGGCGTGGTCCTGCACGTCGGAGAAGGAGTTGCCGCCTAGGAAGTCCTCGAGCTTCGGCGCCTCACCGTCGTCCACCGTCATCCTCCCGCCGCTCGAGCCGACTAGCATCGACAGCTCGGAGGAGCCGCCGTGGTAGTTCAAACCCCTCATTGCCCAATCTGTAACCGCATGATCCCATCCAACATCAGATGCTAGAGAAAGGTATACATGCGCGCTGGAGCTCAAGTAGTACATGCACAGTAGCTCATCAGCTCACCTTGGGTTTCCTGGGTGCCTCCGTTGAAGGCATCCATGACGCCGTAGTTGGCGTCGGCCCGTAGGCCAGACATGCCGAGGTGCGCATCCGGCGCCGTCTGACCTTGCAGGCCATAGAAGTCGCCTCCACCGGAGACGTCGATGGCGGCGGCGGCGGCGGGTGAGCCGTTCTGGTGGGGCTGTGGGTGGCTCCCTTGGCCGGAGAGCGAGAAGCCTAGCCAGTTGTTCGCCGAAGCCATTGTGGAGATGGAGCTCGTGTATTTTTATCGATCAGTGGTTTGATTTGGAAGAGATGGCAGTGGCGGTCTGGTCGCTAGCTAGATTCTTCTGATCAGGGCAGTCAAAGCTAGCATTGGTTTGTGGGAGGTGGCTCGTGGCTGGCTGGGAAGAAGCGCGCGAGGACAGGCCGGGGAAAACAATCCTATCTCTCGGCCGGACAGGAGGAAAATGCTGGAGAAGCAGGGCCCTGTACTTATACCAGCATGAGTGGCTAAGCTAGCCTCCTCCTAGTGGGTGCTACTGCTAGCTACCTGATGCAACGTGTGATTCCAGGTAGCGACTTTCCCAGTATTGAAAACATTCTGAATTCGAACGTGCATGCAAATCGATTCTATTGTATGTTTTCTTTTGCACCTACAGTAGATTCGCTTGTATGTAGGGGTGCTTTTTTGAGAGATACTATACTTATATACTTACTCCATCGTGTCAGTAGCGAGCTATTAGTACAAAGCTGAGACTTATGTTTTTTTCTTTTGCGAGGGAAAAGCTGAGACTTATGTTTTTTTTTTGCGGCAAAGCTGAGACTTATGTTGACCACTCTTGAATCCCAAAAGTGCATGCTAGACATCCATTTGCGCACGCAATTTCCATCGATTTGTTAGTACTCCCTCTGTTCACTTTTACAAGGCTTCAAAGACATTTCAGTCAGTGCAAAGCAGTTCATTTTCAGTTGTCTGAAACGACTTACAAAAGTGAACGGAGGGAGTGGTACAAATTAACCAATAATTATTGTTGAAGTAACTTACAGAATCTTACTATTAGGACAATGACCGTGTGTTGTAGCATGTTATAAATATTCTAATATGTTATCTTTACCTGCCCATATTAATACGAGTGTGTAAATAAATGTTTATCAATTCCTGCCCATGATTTACCTTATGTTTTAATGAGAAGCTTGGTAAGTAAATTGAAATAAAATTGATTCAGAATGTAAGTAAATTAAGGTGATTGATTATCATAAAAAAAGGTTGGACGAAAGAGTGGCGGAAAGAAAAGTGAAACATGAAACCTTACATTCTTTTTAAGTAGTATAGTACTAGGACAATGCCCGTGTGTTACAACGAGATATAAATATGCTAATATGTTATCTAATCATACCCATTATTTACCTTTTTTTTAAAGTCTGTGATTTATCTTATATTTTGATGAGAAGTTTGGTAAGTGAATTAAAGCGGGATTGATTTAGAAGGTAAGTAAGTTAATGTGATTGTTAATCATACAGGGAAGATTAGGTGAAGGGGTGGTGAAAAGAAAAGCGAAACATGAAATTTTACATTCTTTTTAAGTAGTAGAGATAGAGAAGAGATAAAAATTTACCACTCAACTAGCTACTTTTGATAACAGTCCTGATCTATTGTTCGGGCTGTAATAACAAGTATGATATGTAAGACACAATAGGTCCGGAGGTGATGCTCCTGCGTGCATATGCGTCTGTGATGGACAGTAAATTCTAAAAAAAATCAAATAATTCTAACATTTGAACGTTTTAGCAACCTGCAAAGTTCGTGAAGGAAAAACACCCGTGGAGTATTGGACAAAAAAGCACAAAATCGACGTTCCAAAGTACTTTAAAATACTGCCCTTTTGAACATCATTTTTATTTTTCTTTCCCAAGACCTCCGAGCTTATTTTTTTTCCATTGCAGAAAAGAGATCCCTTACCCTTTCTTTAGAAAATGATGAATATGAAGTCCGGGAGGCCGTTGGGAGTGACTGCTTTGCTAATCTATCCTTTTATCCTTCTTTTTGGAGACAAGCACATATTACCGTAACCTAGTGATTAATGCTTTTTCACCACAAAACTTTGCAAGTTGAGACAACATCCAACAATGTTTATTTAAAAAAACAAATCACATTACTCCTTATTTCATCCGATTTTACTATTCATCCAAGTGCATATGCACCCGAGTGCAGAAACTCCATGTCCTAGTTCAAGTTATTCTAGCCAATATGTGCGTTAAATTTGCAACCGATTTTCAGTGCCAATGTGTTCACTTAATTTGCAGATTGGGCAAATCACATCGCACATGAGTCACATTAAAAAATCATGTGCAATGGTACAACCCGTTGCACACTGTTGAAACTAGGAACCTGTGTGCAATTGATGCCCGTTGTAAATATAGATACTAGGATTGGAATCCAACCTCTACTGTTCAATAAACCTGTTTAGGCTAACTCTATGCATTATGCTCCCGTTATGCTAGCGCACACGATTGTACTAGTTAAACCGTGTGTGATGCATGCCTCTCTCGTACCAATTTTCCCACCTCGGCAAAATTGTTTTGCCAACCATGTCATTCCCCCCTTTTCATTCGACCCCCAAAACCATATTCCCACCTTTCCCCCTTCCTCTCCTCAAACTCTCGACCACCTCCACTTCTCCCCGTCAACCCTCCAAGGCAACCCCTACTCATGCGTAGGCTCTTCGATCGGCTCAAGTAAGAAACTGATCCCTCCTCCTCAGGATACTCATCCATCCCCAAACCCTCACAAACTATATTTGCTTTAATGGCACATGTGTAACACACTTTGGCCTCCAAATCTTCATCTACTCTACCAAAGCATCGCCACCAAAGACCGACGGATGGTCCACCACATATCGCAGGAACCATGTCCGTTGGTCGGGCTCCTCCACCATTGAGGAGCATATGGTCGCCAAGAGGCAACTCGCGGTCGCGGTTGCCACCATGTACACCAACCCCAAGATCCTAAAGGAGCATGTTGACCATCGATGCCTCTGTGCGCGCGGAAATGTGATGTTAGGCGCGCTCAATCGATGGATTTTGCATTTTTTTTATTTGGCCAAAGACGGAGATGACATCGAGCTCATTAAAGTCGTTGACTTCAACATGGCACAATCGGAGTGGGTAGTGTCCATTGCTGGGGCTCCTCTGTCGTCAAGCTCCACAAAGGCTCACTCTTGGAGCGAGGTTTGGCATTCTTGAAGACCAGAGCCAGCCCCAGTAGCTTGAGATCTTCAGTCACCGAGACCACTAGAGTTGGCCACACCATCAAGCCTCTTTTCACATTTTTGAATGCTAGGACCGGCATCGACGGCTCGGGCTCCTCAGCTATCAAGGTTGCACCTAACGTCTCCTCCTTCAACAAGGAGGGCACCGATGATGTGCATGCCTTGGGCTATTTCAAGGGGAATTATCCCATCAGCACCTCCTCCTTCTCCAACGAGTAACTTGTTTTACCTAAGTAAGCCTAGTTTTCTAGCCAATTAAGCCCTAGTTATAGCTTGTTAAGCCTTTGTTCTAGTTGATTGTGCAATGTGATGTTTTACTATGCACCGAATAGTTAAATTATGCACAATTCGATGTTCATTTATGTAAGTGTTCGGTTAGGCAATCTCCTTTTTAAATATGCCATGTTTAGTTCAGTTATGTTAACAATATATTGAATTGCTATATTTATTGATTGTTAAGATTGTTGTAATTAGTAAGTATTTCCGGTCTGAACTACTATGTTGCTTTACTAGCATGAAAAATCTTCATAATCAAGCTATTATTGATAGTGTGCAAATTCTTAATTTATCTCAGTATCTACTTATTGCATGATGACAATAGGAAACCATGTTGTTTACTATCGAGGTTAGATTGATCACATGGCCTATAGTGCATTTACTTCTTACATGTAGGTACATATCTCAGGGATATAGACCCACATTTTGACCTATTTTGCATACGGAAAAATGAGATATCCATGAATCAACATTAAGTAAAGAAACTTAGAAAGATCAATAGGATAAAGAGATGGGTGATCAAATGAAACCCTTTGCTTACGCATTCAGACAACAACGAAATTTAGGATGGCGGATAATGAATATTTAAGCAACAATATTAAAATATTTTTGTTTTTGATAGTTTCCGAAGCAGTTGATTAAGCAATGCCTCGCAAACTACATGATTGGTAACAGGGTAACGAAAATTATTTCGCCCAGACTACTTCAGTGAACTTGAAGTTTTCTTCATGATGGTGAAGGACAGGCAAACGATCATCACAAAGTATTGGACTGTAGCAGAACGTGGGATGTGCTATCAGTATGGTTATCGGGAAAGTGTGTAAGATAAATGCCTACGTCACACATGTTTTATTTTTTAGACTGTTTGCAATCCGCCATTCCATCACACACAATTTTAATAGTGAGTGCGATGGCATCCACAATCGTATATTGATGCACGCCAGTGGTTCGTCAAATCGTACTTGATAGAGGTTTCGAACCGTGTGTGATGACCTTTGCTTTGTAAATCATAGCTGCCGGTGTCTCCTGGTTTGCATCCACGACTTTTCAGTCACTCCTTCTACAATCTCCTGGGTTTTTAAAAGATTGCTCCGCTGAGGCGGATGAGGCCTAGAGACGACATCAAACTACCCTCACGGTGCACCGTGTATGGATGCAAGAGAGAAAAAAAGACTTCGGCACCCCAAAAATTTGATGTAATTTTATTTTGTGTAAGACTAGCCATAGTGGATAGTAAGACTAGCCACAATGGGTAGTAACATAGAGTAGTAACATGGGCATGTTACTACTCTATGTTACTACCTCTATAGTGGGGAGTAACATATGTGCGGTAACATACAACACTTTATTTATTAGGCCATAGACTCATCTTACCTTGATATATGTGATGTTACTCATACTAGTAGTAACTAGCTATGTTACCATATACCTTTCTTTCTTCATTTATTGCTTGCCACATCATCTATTTTATCTAGATATGTGTGATGTTACTATCTATGTTACTCCCACTGTGGGTAGTCTAACATACACTAGTAACATACGTGTATCCCTAGACCATGTTACTACCTTCATAATGGGTAATAACATAAGTGTGGTGTTATGCAAAGATTCATTTATTAGGTTATAGACTCATATTGCATCGGGATATGTGATGTTACGGTACCTAGCTAAGTTACTCAAACTATCTCTCTCCTCATTAACTCATTGCCACATA